GGCTTAAATGCCAATTTGCACAGATTATTATTATTATTGTTATTATTATCATCATCCAGAATGGCATCTCTACAGGGCATGGCTCAGTCTGAGGGCATTCAGTTTTAAATAAAAACATTTTTTGGAGAGGGAGAAGGAAAAGGCAGAAGAGAGAAAGAGGAGGCAGAAAGGAGACAAGGAGCAGAGGAAGCGGAGAGGAGAAAGAGGAGAAAGTTATGGAGAAAGGAGAAGATAAGGAAGAGGAGGAAGAGGAGACAAAGGAAAAGGACAACAAGAAGGGAGAAATAGGAGAAGGAGAAGGTGGAGAGGAGAGGAGGAAAGGAGAAAAAGAAGGGGAAGGAGAAGAAGAGGGGAAAAGAGGGAGAAGGAAGAGAGAAAATTGAACTGGTTGAGTCCAGTTCAGGAGTGGGCAGCTTTTCTGCCCATATCTGGCTTGGAAGGGGTGTAGCAAGGACCACATGTTCTCCAGAGTGGGCAGCTCAGGCAAAAACATACTTCTGGGTTTGATTTATCTGTTAAGAATTGTGTTCAAGGGTGAAGGCAACATGCATAGAACTGCATCCTATGTTTCCTTGCAACCCTGTTAGATGGGTCACGTGGATAGAGAAGGACTGGTCCAAAGTCCTCCAGGCAGTTCTTGTAGCTGAGGAATCCTCCTTACACCTGGTTCCGCACCTTCTCCACTGGACCCATCTGCCTCTTGAGCTGAGATAGAGGGCTGAGACAGATGGATTGGACCAGAGTCCTGCCTCTCTTCCTTCTCCTCCTCTTTTTTCTCCTTCCTGTGTCCTCTTCTCCTCTTCCTTGTTCTTCTATCTAATTCCTTCCTCTCTGCCACTTCTCCTTCTCCTCCTTCTCTCCTTCCTGCCTCCTCTTTCTGTTTTTCTTCTACTTCTCATTCCTTCCTCCCTGCCTCTCTTCCTTCTCCTTTTTCTCCTTCTTGTATCTTCTTCTCTTCCTTGTGCTTCTTATTCATCCCTCCCTGCCACTTCCACTTCATCTTCTTCTCCTTCTCTCCTTCCTGCCTCCTCTTTCTCTTTTTCTTCTCATTCCTTCCTCCCTCCTCTCTTCCTCCTCCTCCTCCTCCTCCTCCTCCTCCTCCTCCTCCTCCTCCTCCTCCTCCTTTTTCTCCTTCCTGTGTTGTCTTCTTCTCTTCCTTGTTCTTCTAATTCCCTCCTTCCTGTCTCCTTCTCCTCTCTTCCTTCTGGCTGTGAAATCTCAGTGCCAAATGCGCTTCTCTTGAAGGCTTCTCCTTTGTGTCTTCTCAGATGATGAATGTCCCACCGCTGATCTCCCTTACAAGAAGCCCTACATGGAAACATCTCCAGCAGAAGAAGAGGCCTTCTACCATCGCTCCAACTATCCCCCGCAGCAAGGACTTAACAGCGCCTACAGGACTGAGTCCGGTCAACGCCAAGCCTGCATGTATGCCAGCGCAGCCCCAGCGCCGGAAGTGGTGCCCAGCTTGGAAGACCTCAGCTGCAACACCTGGTCTACCATGTCCTCCTATAGCAGCTGCACAGTAACTCCCATGCAACCCATCGACAGGTTGCCTTACCAACATTTTTCAGCTCACTTCACCTCGGGCTCCCTGATGCCACGCCTTGCCACCGTAGCTGGTCATCCTTCGCCCCAACTTGGGGACACCCATGCCATGTTCCAGCATCAGACCTCCGTTCCTCACCAGCCCCTCGGCCGGCAACAAGCCAGCATCCAGTCTCCTCCTGGAAACTTACAGCCAACCGAGTTTCTCTATGCCCACGGGATGCCCAGAACACTTTCCCCACATCAGTACCATTCTGTTCACGGGGTGGGCATGACTGCAGAATGGAGTGAGAGCAGCTAACAAGGGAAGGGATGAGCTGGACTGAACGTTCACAGATAAGCACTCTAGAGATGGACCAGGCCCTCTTTTCTGGTGAGACCATGGGGGTGGTTATCACCTCTACTTTGGTGTCTCCAAGCCACTGACCATCACAGCACATCTTTGCCCTTTCCTGTGATCTCCTCACTTGGCCACCTGGGTTTTGCATTGGTGCCAACCTGTCCCCTTCGATGGTTTTGTTTGATTTTTGCTCCCAAGTCAGATGTCAAGAGCTTCATGGCTCTTCTTGATCTCCTTTCGACGGGGGTGAGGTGGGAAGAATAAGACTATGTGGAATTTTCTTCTCCTGATCCTTCCCCTTTCTTTTTTGGTGTTGAGGTTGACAATGTTCTGTAATAAATGATAATATATAGCCCTCTCCATATCCATTTCTTTCTCTGTATCCTTTCCGGCCTCTCAATTGGACACCTCTCTCTCTTTTTACAGGAATTTTAAAAGCTGGAGCTGAAATGAGTTGTGAGATACAACTTTTCTCTTTATTTTCATTACAGGTCCTTTTAGTTTAAATCTGTGATTCTCACAGTTGGCCACGTTAAGTTGGGTGGACTTCAACTCCCAGAATTCCCCATCCAGAAATATAATGGAATTCTGGGAGTTGAAGTCAACTTAACATGGCCAATTTTTAGTTTAGTTTAAAAGGTTAATTAAAGGTTAATAAAAGATTCTTAGTCTGTTTTTTCTACATTCCCCTCTCTTTTTATTCAATGACAAATGTTGGAAAATATGAGAACAAAATATTCCTTAAATACACAAGCAACTTAAATTTTCCCAGATCTATTTCTTCCACTGGTTAATTGTCCTCACTGTTAGGAAATTCCTCCTTAGTTCTAAGTTGCTTCTCTCCTTGGTTAGTTTCCATCCGTTGCTTCTTGTCTTCAGGTGCTTTGGGGAATAGCTTGACTCCCTCTTCTTTGGGGCAGCCCCTCAGATATTGGAAGACTGCTATCATGTCTCCCCTGGTCCTTCTTTTCATTAACCAGACATACCCAGTTCCAACATCCATTCTTCCTATGTTCTAGCCTCCAGTCCCCTAATCATCTTCGTTGCTCTTCTCTGCACTATTTCTAGAGTCTCACTGTCTTTTTTTTCAACCCATTTACGATGGGTTTCCAGCGTCCTGGGTTCACATGCTCCCCAAAGTTTCCTTGGCTTTGGGGAAAGAAGCTCCTTCACCAGACAACTTGAATGTGTAGATAACAGAATATCTAAAAAGGTTTCTACCTTCCAGCAAATGTCTGAAGGGAATCTTTTTTTTTCTTCCCCTTCCTGGTTTATTTCTGGAACTTGCATAACTCAAGTTCACAGCCAAACTACGATTCAAGAGCGAAGAGCTATTTTGAAGGGAGAGCTATTTTAATCCTATTAGATTTCTTTGGACACTGCTTGACCAGGCTGTCAGTTCCCTTTTTTGAAATATGGACTTCCAATTCACCCCTTTATGTTTTTTCTAACTGCAGTAGGAAACACCACACTCGTCTCTCATTGCCGTAACAGTAACAGACTTGAAAGGGACCTTGGAGGTCATCTGGTTCAGCCCCCTTGCTCACGCAGGAACTCTATACTATTCCTGACAAATATCTGTCCAGTCTCTTCTTAAAAGCTTCCAGTGATGGAGGCTTTTAAGAGGAATCAGAATTCTTAGAATTAGAATTAAACTCCCATTAGAATGGGAATTTCATTTTTAAAAAGGGGAACCAGACGAAAGCAATGGTTTTCAACTTTGGTGGTTTTAAGATGTGTGCTCCACTCATCTCAGAGTTGCCAAGGTTGAAAAACATTGATCTGGAGGATATATTTCGATCTCAAGGTTGTGTGTGCCAACACAGAGAGACACATACAGATGTGCACACAAATCGGCATAAAATATATACTTATCCAAATTAAGCACATATACAGATGGATGTACTTGTCTAAGAGAAGCAACCCAGAACTAAGGAGAAATTTCCTAACAGTGAGAACAATTGATCCATGGAACGAGTTGCCTCCAGAAGTTGTAAATGTTCCAACACTGAAGGTTTTTAAGAAGAGATTGGATAATCATTTGTCTGAAATGGTGTAGGGTTTCCTGTCTAAGCAGGGGGTTGGACTAGAAGACCTCCAAGGTCCCTTCCAACTTTCTGTTATTCAGTATAGACTGCTTAAATATTGCAGCTAGAGCAACAGCACAAATTTCTGCGCTTTTCCAACATAGCTATTTTTTTTAAAAAATGGGTTAATTGCAAAGCACCCTTCAGCGAGTGAAGATGTCTTAATGGGTGAGTGGAATTATTGCACTTGTCCATTGAGTTGGCTTGGTTCCAGCTTAATGAACGCTTTCCCTCATTTAATTTTTAAAAAGCAATTGATTCAATGAATTGATTCTTGACCGAACAGGAGCACTTCAATTAATCAATCCTGTTGTTTATGAAAAAAAAAATATTCAGATAACAGCTAGGAACTATTATAACAGAAGCGTTCAAGCAATGAAGATATGTTGCTACGTAACTGGGTAATGAAATATCTATAAAGAAACAATCAAGCTCAGAGTGTATCAAGATTCCACATAGTCCTTCTCCTCCTCCTCCTCCTCCTCCTCCTCCTCCTCCTCCTCTCTGCACACCCAATTCTCTTCTAATACTGATGATATTACCTAGTTGGGCAATGAAACGTCTGCAAGGAAACCACCAAGCTCAGAGAGCACCAAGGACTCCACAATCTTCCTCCTCCTCCTCCTCCTCCTCCCCCTCCTCTCCATAAACCCAACTCTCTTCTAGCACTGATGATGTTACCTAGTTGGGCAATGAAACGTCTACAAGGAAATACTCAAGTTTAGACACCACTAAACTCCCCACAGCTAAGAATAAGAGCCATCCTATCTTAGATGCTCAAGGAAATTTAAAATCGATTCAGGACCTCCAAAATCAAGGGATAGATATTGACTGGTGGGCATTTCTTCAGTTACAAAATAGGTATAAAAAGATATAAAAGATTTTGGAATATATTTGAAATTTACAACAACTGGATAAAACTCTAACAGGCCCAGATAAAAAGAATATTACAAAAATTTATAAGTATTTGCTGGATGTAGAATTGGAAGAAGAGATGGTTAAGGGATGCATGATAGCCTGGGCACAAAATATTGGACATAGCATAAATTTGACAGAATGAGAAGGCATTTGGAGTCAAAATTATAAATTAACAAAATTGGCTGTATACACAGAAAACATAAGATGTTCTACAGATGGTACCTGCCCCCCATGAGATTGGCGAAGATATACCCCAACATGAATCCGGCATATTGGAAGTACAAGAAGAAAGAAGGTACGTTTTATCACATGTGGTGGTCTTGCCCGGAGACTCAAAAATATTGGCTAAAAATTAAAAAATGGTTGCAAGCGATTACTAAGGAACAAATAGAATTGAAACCGGAATTATTTTTGCTGGGGATATTTAGAAAGAAATATGGGAGAGATATAAAATATATAATATTACGGCAGCTAGAATTGCCTATGCCCAACGTTGGAAAGGTAAAAACACACCACCAGATGAATTGGTTATCCAAAAAATAATGACTTGAGCGGAGATGGACAAATTAACCCTGATGTTACAAGAGAAAGAGGACTCTTTGGAGAAAATGGTATGATTGGATTGAGCTAAGATAGATAAATGATGAAATAATTAATGATAAGCATCAAATAGGTGAAATGTTTACATTCGCATAAATTGTACATACAGTATTTGTAAATAATGCACAAAATAGAAGTATGGGAGATGAATGTCACAAACTGTCAATGTCGAGATATGTATAACCTTTGTTTGTTTTTAAAAGATATAAAAGATTAATAACGTTAAAAAAAGAATAAGAGCCATCTTTTGGCTCCCTTGCATTCTAGCATCAACATCAATCTGGCATGATCCGGAAGGATTGATGAGGTATCCACCGCAGCCAGGAAAAAGAACAGATCGTGTACACCCCAAAGACTGAGAAAATGTTGGTGCCTTACACACACACCCCTTTTTTTAAAAAAAGTTAAACATGCGTGGGCAAACCTAGCTGAATAGAAAGGTAAAGGAGATGAATGCAAGGCACCCCCTACATCTGATTTCCATATGAAAAACGGATGGATCAGCCTCTCTTCCAAGGTTACTTCGGCTTAACTCAAACATAGCAACCCCAAGCAAAAAGATAAGATCCAGGCGTCCAATAAATCATGACAGTCTTTCTTTGTGCTTTTCAATTTATCTTTGCCCGTAGAGAGACATTAGAGATGGAGAAGACAGACAGGGAGATATTCTACCAGGATCTGGAAGTGAATCAAGAAAAGGAATACAGTTACCGGTGTCTTAGGCATGAGCCAGGATGAAAACCACATTAAAATACTAGCTGCATTCTCTTGCGGTCGTAGGGAGAATATGCGGGCCAGATAAGAAGAGGCATGAATTCAACGTGATATTGGGGGAGGGGGGGAAAAAAAGCAGGGACTTGAACAGAAGTTTTAGATATTAAAAAAGTGATTGAATGCAAACCCCAAAGACAAATTCACCTTGGGTTTTGTATTTTTGGGGTTGGGGTGGAGGGAAACAGGCCTGGAAGCTCTCAAGCCAAACAGAAATTACCATTAAAAAAATGAAGCCGTCTAACAGCTTTCGGATGAAAAGAAGAAGAAGAAAAATTCTGCTAAATGGATCACAAAAGTCTGTATGAGAGAATTTGGCCTCTGTACACAGGATATCTAAGCTAAGTGTGATGGGCATGGCACAAAGGCAACACAATCAGATAATCAGTAGGCGTCCCTTTATTAGCTCCAACTTTGCCCCCAATGTCCTGGCTACCTGCTGGGTTGGAGAAAAACTCTCCCAGGAACAGCCAAGTCCAAAACATGGTCAACAAAAACTGTAACTATAAGTCCAATCAAGGCAAAATGAGGTAATTAGTCTGGCAGGGCAGGAGAAGGAATTCCAGACGTGAAGGAAGTAGTAATTTAACACAATTGGGAAGACGCCAGGAACACAGATAACTAAAGTCAACACAAGATAAACTCACGTTTGTTCCCAGCAGTTGCCACACTCAGCATACATCTCATTCCCAGCTGTGGCTAATGAAGGGAATCAGGGCCCTTTCCTCCCCTGTAAGTCATGCAACCCACGTTGCTCTCTTCTC